ATCGCGTGCAAAATGTAAAAGTTCAATTAATTTTATATATATATATGTGAAGGTACGTTTTAAATAATATTCTAGATTAATATAAACAACCACCTATCATCTCGCGTTTCAATAAATCCATAAGATTAAATACACAAATACATCACCGCACGATGTATTATATATTTTTTTTTAATTTTAACAAGTTTAAAAATAAATAGAATGAAAAAATGTTGCAATAAAATGTACCGAATACAATTCGTTCACTCTGCAAAGTGAATCCGCTTTAAAAATCGTGTAACCGACATTGATAAAATAACGAAACGTTTGTTTAAAAAAAGAGTACACTCCTCGAGCAACTTGTTCGCGAAAATCCCGTAATGATTTTCCGTATCTACTGCGACAAAGTTGCGCATTTGATCTCCCTCGAGCAATTCACACCCCGATTAATCCCAAGATTCTCCATCGTTCACTTCTCGCAGGCGGCGTTATCTACCCGGGCCTCTTCGGGTGTATGAGGCTTCTCGGACGAACTTCCCGACGCGACACCAGGACGAAAAAAGTCGACGAACGAAGTCGACTACGGCGGTGGACGTACCAGGATTCTCATTTTTGCTCTCGCGATGTTCCGGGTGCGTCCAGGAGTGAACTGGATGCTGATTGCCGTCGATCCCTGGTCTTATATACGCGGCACACTTTCGCCTTCGCCACCCGGGGGCCCGTCGGGTCCGAGGCTCCAAGTCGTATACCCCCACGTTACACCTCTTTGTTCAGCTACGACGACGACGGTCCCACCGTCCCGAGCGACCACCACTCCCCTTTGGGACAGACGCCCCACTTCCCCTCCCTTAACAAATACACGAGCCACGAAGAAACACTCTTCTCCTCCTTTAACGAACAGGTTTTATTCTCTTCCTCCTTCGTTGAATGCTCATGCTTGCGATGCCTGACTTCTTTTTTTTTTTTCTCTCTCTCGTCGCATATCTTCGCCGGTGCCTTTGCTATACTTTGGTTTTATATATGGTTACTTTCTCTGAGAAACGATGGACATACCAATCGTCACCGTCGTAGACTCCCCTTGGTGTCGGAAGCTGCCGACGTGACATCGATCGTGTCCGCGTGTTTTTCCAGTTTGAGCGAATGCACAGATTAATCCAGTACGTTAAAACTCGTCTCTCTTTGCACGTAACGTTTGCTTCGAGAATCCGTTCTTAACGGGTTACAATCCGTTTTACCGATTAACCGATAAATCTGTCAGCCTATACCGGATATATCGAATAGAAACGCGACACGCGTTTCAATTCAACAAATTCTCGTCGACTGTCACTCTGCCGTTGGCATCCATGTCTCGTACAAGAGATTTATACATCGATATGAGTCTAATAAAATTTCGTTAAAAAAAACCAGTTTCGTTAATTTTGGTGATTACATCTGACGCAATCTAACGACGTTTTCTCATTCCGAGATTTTCCTGTTTCGAAATGCGGTTAAAGTGCGCTCCAATCGAGTTTTAAACTTTTACTGCGTGTGTCGTAGTTCCTTGAAGTAGAAGTACCTTGCGATTGGAACGGAAATCGGCAAAACCCTTCCGGGGGATTAAATCGCAATCATCGAAATGCGCAATCGATTGCACGTTTTGCGAAACCTGGTATTTTATTACCGTGAACTATGCATGGTCTGTTGTCTGATCGAACATGGGAGAATTGTATTGTATATTCTGACCAAGTTTTTATTCTTATACCTTTCTTTTTTTTTTCAAGACTCTTTAATTTATCTACGATAAATTTCGATTT